GCACAACTTTAAATATAGAGTGGATTTTTTGGTGTTTTTGCGAATTGGCAATATTTTCTCTAGCTGGGTTTGAGTTATGAGGGCAACACTTTTTACAATGTTGAATGAGAATCCGATGGCCACTTTCTATGGATTCAGTGGAAGCCGAAGAGGGAAGAGTAGGTTTTGATGCATTTTTTGTGAATACGGAATATATTTGAAAAAACCGGTTGCCATGTTGATTGTTGGATGCCATTCCTTCCCAACTGCTTCTTCGAAATCTGATTACTGGTTCCATACACATGGTGGTACCATTCGGTGTAGTCCGAGTCGATGAGCAGGAAATGGTGGGCAATGGCTCCCTCCATACATCAGGTTCCAAAGCATCAAGCGGCCTTGCGGACACCTTAATTGAAGCTGACTGTGCTTTCTTGTCATCAAAATCGCAAATATTCTCAACTTGAGCTGGAAAGCTTATTGGGGACGTTGGAAATTCAAACTCAGATGGTGGTGTAACAATTGGATTTTTGGCTTCCTCCGTATTTTTCGTCTCATTGACAGCATGGTGGCTATCAAAGTAAGGCAGATTTGCTTTATCAAGTTTTGGGTTCGAATAAATAGGAATAGTTGTACAGTCTTTAGAAAAATCTTGAAGGAAGACTTTAGGTTTGGGATATAGGTTATTGAAGGAGGAGCGGGATGGCGAAGGTGACGAAGGAAGTGAGATGGATTGAGACTTTTTCGGGGCATGCAGTTGAGAGCCCTGCCGTGGCTTTGTCGGGTTTTTTGTTCGTTTCTTGCAGGTATTGCCATTAAGTATCGGGGAAATCAACATGGGAGAGGCTGAAGGGAGACAGGCCGGAGGCTTTGCCATATATATATTGCGATGATGGTCCTTCTTATCAGGCTTTTTATAGGAAGAATTTTGAATGTAAATAGTGGGTTTGAAATTATCAAAGTTAAATTTAGATTGACAGCTAGAAACAAACCTGAAAGAAGAAGCTTCACAGAACGTTGGCCATCTTTTAAAAACGAAACTCCGACATTGCAATACAAGATTAATTAGATGTTTGCATATTATTTTGAGGCAAGAAACCAAATGGCAGAAAACATAAATAAGCTTTACATACACTAGCTCGAGGGGCAAAATTCGCCAAATGATCGTCTTGACTGGCCTGGAAATGCCAGCAAAATAATTTAAATTCGGGTTAATTTTGGAGAAAGCCTAAAATAAACCGATGGCAAACTTACATAATCCGAAATGATAATAAATAGTATAGAAATTCCGATAAATATAGCAGGAGCTATGAACACAGATATCACTGCATCGTTGAGTATCACCTCTGAGAACAACGGATTGATGGCAAGCAACTCAAAGAAAAGCACAAATGTACAGAAAAGTGTAAAAAAAACAGGGGTGCTGGCGCTTTGGTTAGAATGGTGTCTGCTGCTGTGAGAGTAGCCTTTGTTGGAAAGTGGAATCGTCGAGTGCGTTGGTACGATTGGCGGCATATTAAATCTCAACATAAATAATTAGCCAAACGGTAATCTAAATAAATGAATAATTAAAATCACAAAGTTTATTTGCATTTGATTTTTACCCTGAAACGCAATCGTGTACTTTAAACGCAATTTATTTCAGACAACAAGGAAATTGAAACGGCAATTTATTGAAAAATATTCCTCAAATCTGCTTCTGAATAATAAATATCGGTAACGGGACATTTCGCTTCCCGCCTCAAATATTGTAAGATGCATATATGGCAAAATACATATCCAGATGGAAGGGCCGTTGGGTTTGTACAGGGAGATTGTTTACAAAGCGCACATGTTCCTCTTAATGGAATTTCTACACCACGGTGTGGGGAAACAATGCATGGGGGCTCCTTTTCATCCAGGATAAAGTCAAACTGGCAGTTCTCTTCTAACATAACTTTGGCTTTTGCATGTCCATTTTCTCCCCACCACTGCCCAATTCTTATTAAAAATAATGCCACAGGAAATATAGACACCAAGCTTTCAAGTGAAAGTATTTTCATCGGCGATTGATCTGTAATTTCTCTTCTCCTCAAAGTGACATCATGCACATAGAGCCAAGGATAGTAAAACGCAGTCAATTTTACCAAATAGGCCAAGGAAAAAGATACCTTTATGGCATCGAAAAAAGCAAGACCCAACATAAGGCCCTTTTGCCTTGTGTTGATGATTTTGGATCGCACATAACTATAGGTAGGTCCCCACAGAACGCTTAGGACAATGGCCCTTTTATTTCCAGCTCTATGTATCTGGTAAAAATACTCTGAAAACGAAGCTTTATAATGCCTTGCAAAGTAAAGCTCGGTGAGGGAAGATAGAATCCACCAAATTCCTTTCGAATGGTGAGGAAATATGCCAAGTTTCTAAGGATAATCAATTTAGAGCTACTTCAAAGTACTGGCAGAATACGGGACCCATCAGCTCGGTCATTTTATCGCAAGCCAGGACTTCCAAGAAAGAAGGCGAACATTGCAGCAAATCATTCGAAGCCATTTGGTAAAATTTTACTTTCAATGAATGTCCTTCAAATTAATAAATTGATCTTTGCCACTCATTCTCACCTCCCTTGTAATATTATTAAGTTCAATACGCCGCGTAAAGTCTTTTTTTCTCTAAATCCGCTTTCGAAGTATACATTGCAATCCTATTCAACAGAATCCAAATTGGCCAGTGGCAACCAGTCCAATCCCGACTGTCTTTCTAGTTTGTCCCCCCTTACTGAACAGAGTCCATTAGCAAAGATAATTCCACAACTATTCAAAATCAAGCTCTCTGCTATGGTTTTATGTACCACACTGACAGGCTTTGTCATTGTTCCTGGAATTGATCTCTACTGTTGGACTACGATAAAATTACTGGGCAACACTCTTCTTGGTACATCTTTATGCTCATTTTCCGCAAACGCGTTCAACCAATGGATCGAAGCTTCATTTGACGCGCAGATGAAAAGAACAGAATTTAGACCTCTGCCTTTGCGGAGGATTTCTCTTCCAAATGCCTTCATCGCGAGTAGCATGATGGGATTGAGTGGCGTTGCCTACTTGTATTATTTTGTTTCCGGAGTGTCATCTATAATTGCAGCCTCGACTATTATCCTTTATGCTGGAGTATATACTCCTCTGAAAAGAATGTCCATTATGAATACCTGGGTTGGCTCCATTGTTGGGGCATTTCCGCCACTGATCGGTTGGTCAGCTGGCTTACAGTCCCTCTCTTTTGTAGCTCCAACGCCTTTATTTGGATGGATCCCCATTTTTTTTCTGTTATATTGTTGGCAGTTTCCTCATTTTTTTTCACTCTCTTGGGGTTTGAGAAGAGAATATGCCCGTGCAGGATATCGTATGTGCTCTCTTCTTAATCCACGGTTAGCCACCGCTTCTTCCATGAGGCATACGTTGGTCTTATTTCCACTAACCTTTCTTTTTTACTATACAGGCCTTGCTAACATGTATTTTATATTTATTGGCTCTCTCATCAATTGTATCTTATTACTCCCCGCAATAGACTTCAAAACTAAACAAGATAGCTTTAGTGCTAGGCGCCTGTTTTTTGCGTCTCTAATTCATCTGCCGTTGTTTATGGCCGCTTTATTTGTACTAAAACCAGCGCCCTAATAAACACAAATATTTAACACAAGCACCACCAACATATGCGTTGAGAAGACCTTCAGGGCCTCGTAAACCAATATTTAGGGTTAAGATGGCAAATGAGTAAATTAATACTTCTAGCTCGCCATTCCTGATTGAAGGAATCAAATTCTTTTTGGTATATTGTGATGTAATTGGTGTAAAATTTGGACAACAAAGCTAAACGTAAGGCCGAAACAGTACCTGGATTTCCAATGCTAGCAATGTCTCTTTCTAGCGAATCAAATCGATCGTTGTTTTTTTTCCAAAACGAAGCCTGCCAGCTCCAAAGGTCGGACTCTTTTTCGGTAATAGTGCTATAGAGAGATTTTGACCTCGCCGCACTATGTATTTTCTGCAATCATAAAATATTAATTTACCCGACCACATGGCAATACTTTTCCAAGTAAAACCATCGGATGCTAAATAGAATTTTCGCACTTCACGCTTTAAATTGAATTTAATTTGTTGTCAATTGCCAAAATTTAGTTACATGAACAGAGACAAATTGGAGCAAAGGCGCCAAAGTTTTAAGGGAGCCGGCTTCACCAAGGAGGAGCATCGACGCCGACGAGAAGAGGCTTCTGTAGAAATCCGCAGAGTTAAACGGGAGGATACCCTTAGCAAAAGAAGAGGCCTTCAGCCTGCCGGGACCTGCGAGGCTGGTTCATCATCATCTGCTATTTTTGCTTCTTATTCTGATGAGGATGAGGACAAATCCCTTTTTTCTGCCAATTCACCAAAATCTTTAAAGGTAAATTGATGGTATTATTTTTAGTATGAAGCTCCAACATCAAATTTGTTTTCGGATGACCCTGTTCTTCAGCACGCTGGCGCTGTTGAATTTAGGCGCATCCTCTCAAAGGAAAGGAATCCCCCGATTGATGATGTCATATCTTGTAACATCGTTCCCCGTTTGGTTCAGCTGTTAACAGCGCCACAGGGAAAATATCCCAACGAAACTAGCCCCGAGGAGGTATTTTTTGTTATTTATGACGTTGAAATAGGCAAAGGGCCTATTTCAGAGCATTCAATTTGAGTCCGCCTGGGCGATCACAAATATTGCTTCAGGTAAATTCTTTTGTGGTTAATTTCACCTCTTTCTTTGCTAGGCACTTCATCACAAACTTGGACCTGTGTGCAGCACAATGCCATTCCCGTCTTTATCCAGCTCTTACAGACAACAGATTCCAAAGATGTTTTGGAGCAGTCTGTCTGGGCTTTGGGAAATATTGCAGGAGATACAACGGAAACAAGGAATATGGCCTTGAATTCCGGGATAATGGGCCCTCTGTTGAGTGTCATTCAAAATGCCTTGAATTCCCCTTCTTTGCTAAGAAACGCCGTTTGGACGCTTTCCAACTTGTGCAGAGGAAAGCCTGCGCCGCCCTGGGGCTCCGTAGTCGACTGCATTCCCGTTTTGGCTGGACTTTTGAGAAGCATCCAAAGCGACAATGAGGTTATCGCCGACTCCCTATGGTCCCTTTCTTACCTTTCCGATGGTCCTAACAACCACATTGATGTCGTTCTGCAATCAGGCATAATTCCACGTGTTGTAGAGCTGCTAGCATCGCCGAACTCTACTCCTGCAATTCAGACCCCTGCCCTCCGTACTCTGGGAAATATAGTCACTGGAAATGATATTCAGACGCAAGCCGTTCTGCAAGCTAATATCCTGCCAGCGCTTGTTTCATTGCTACGCTCCAATCCAAAGGCATCCCTTATAAAAGAGACTTGCTGGACTATCTCCAACATTACTGCAGGCAACCCAGACCAAATCCAGGCTGTTATATATTCTGGAATCGTCCCTCTTGTCATTGATATTCTTGAAAATGGGGAATTTAAAGCCCGAAAAGAAGCTTGCTGGGCAATTTCAAATGCTACCTCTTCAAAGTCTACGCGCCCAGATCAAGTTCGATATCTGGTCACTGAAAATTGCATTCCTCCTCTTTGCGATATCCTTTCATGCCAAGACAGCAAGATCCTTCAGGTGGCCCTCGAGGCTCTTGATGCTATTCTTGAAGTGGGGGAGCGAGACTTTCTTGCCTCTGGCGGGTCGATTGGAGATTGCCAGCCTTATGCTCTTCAAGTGGAAGAGTCTGGAGGCCTTGATCGTATATACGAACTACAGGGACATGAAAATGTCCATATTTACGAAAAGGCAAAATCGATACTGGAAAAGTATTTTTCTGAGGGGGAGGATACTCTCCTTGGAGGAAGCTAGTTATTTCGCATACGTAATCCAATTATAAAGAATATTAACGGGTACATCCGTGGACTACTGAAAATTAAAATTGTGGATATGTTTGAACGGGCTGGGTCGGAGGTAAAGAAAACAGGCTGACCGGATCCCGTTGTGTGGTTCGATGTATCTGAATACTGTTTATTGACAGACCAAATAATATATAAATTTATAGACGGCGACCACGGCGAGATCCTTTTCTGCGAGTGCTGTCAGTGGGGATAGGAGTAACGTCCTCTAAAGATAAGAAGCTTGGCGATGATTACCGATGCGGCCAATTTTCATTCCAGAGCGAGCAAGAGCACGAAGGGCTGACTGAGCGCCAGGTCCTGGAGTCTTTTGTCCAGTTCCTCCTGTAGCGCGGAGCTTGATATGAAGTGCGGTTATTCCGAGCTCTTTGCATTTGGCAGCAACATCTTGTGCAGCAAGCATAGCTGCATATGGTGACGATTCATCACGATCGGCTTTCACCTTCATGCCTCCAGTTACGCGAATGATTGTCTCACGACCACTGAGATCAGTGACATGGACAAATGTATCGTTGAAGGAAGCAAAAATATGAGCAACGCCGAAGACGAGTTCACCTTCACGAACCTGTGGGCCGAGAGAAACTGTCTCTTCAGGTTTTGTTTTCTTAACACCTTTCTACAGAATGGTTAGCTCGGGTCAAACAATGGATTAAAACAGAGAAAGGGACGGAGTAAACACTTACCACTGCCATTATACGGACAAGTAAAATTAAATCTTTAAAAATTCGAACTTTACACGATATTTTTAATATTCAAATTAGATCATCGAAATTGGATACGATTGATCAAATAGATACCAAATTCCCAATTGCAAAAGCCAGCGACATGCATGTGCAAAGGCGATTGATATGCATACTTTAAGTCTTGCCTGTCTAATTCTGGAATGGTAGGTTGCATGGCCACTGCTTGTCATTGCATATATGGCTTCAATGTTTGAAAAGATGACAAACACATTGACTAGCTTTATCACACCCATTGAATAGTAGTTCCATATGACCATGAGAATGACGATTATTTTACCAAAACTGCTAATGATCAGCGCTTCTCTGATTTTGTCGCTCGAAATTCGGGAGCCTTCTTTTGAAAAAATCGTCAAAAGCAGCGTGATAACGATGGAATATACCAAAAACTCGAAAAATGCGCACAAAAAAAGAAATGGGACGTTTTTTACAAATAGATAAGTGTACGAAAAACTTGAAGATAAGGGTGGCCGTGGCAACGGATGGTTTGTCTCCTGTTGGTACCATTTAATATCTACACACATGAGGCAATAAAAGATACAAATTTCAATCAAAAACATCAAGGTGGCAAGCCGCAGTAAAATGTTTTTCGTGTAAAATGCCTTGTTTGCAGTGACGTGACATTGGCTTTTATTTAGAAGCAAATGTCTATACACTTGGTGCTTGTGCAAAAGCATATCTAGAAAAAGAATGATCGGCTCATATTCGATATATTTATCCGAAACCGATCCGCAAAATGTCTACGGGTAAAATAAAGCAGCATTGGGATACACATTGGCACAGGGAAATATTTCCGTGCGAATATTCTAAAAATAAGCTTTGGACTTGGGAGCCACATTCGACACATGAAAATGGCATGGGCCAATTTATCAGGAAATTTAAAATTTATTCTCATGGACGAGCCCAAATTGATGCCGAAAAAGCTATTTGGCGGAGCTCTCCAAGTTGCTCTTCCCTCTGGCTTTATCGATGCAAGCCAGTTTAGACAGATACCCGACCACCAGGAGGTATATCTTTCACAGGATTCCGAAACGTCGATTATTGTTGAATTATTGGATCCGCTTGTCGAGCAAAAGAATGCCATGCATGTGCTTGACAGCCACTTCCAGATACTTGCAGAGGATAATTCATGCTCTTTTTCATTGATTCTCCAAAAAGACCTTGAATTGAACATTTTGCTTGGGGTCCAGGCTGTCCCAAAGTTTGGAAAAAAGACCGATTTCATCCTGGTGCTTCTTTCGGTTCGGTCGCTTGAGGCCCCATATAACACTGACATCGTTACTTCGATGAATGTAAATATTTTATCGGATCCCCTTTTTTCAACAACATTACCCTCGTCAATTGGCGCATTGGCAGAATTAAATTCAAACTCAGCTTTGCAAAGCTTGACAGCACAAACACCTTTTAAGCGGATTTCAGAGAATGCCTTCAGCACCTTTTCACGCATTTGCCAATCTATAGAGGTGCTTGATTATTCATTGTTTCAAACACAATAACCCTAACGCAAAATAAAGTTCGGACTCCCGTCCCAAATAAAATACCAAGAATTTTGTTTCAGCCAATCTTGACGCGTGTCACTTTTCAATTTATTTTGAGCCTTCGATACCATCCTCAAATTGAATCTCTTGTGCCTTTTTTAGGGAATGTCCCTAAAAGCCTTCTATTTGGAGCGTAAACTTGTTTTATTCTACAATATTTAGATATTGAAAAGACTTTGTTTCCATCGCCCACCGATGGTTGCAATTCATGGAGGATTTTGGTGGCAGATAAGTTGGCCACGAATTTCCTAAACTCAATGTTCCGCCTGTCCAATCTGGTCGAAAAAAGGATATCTTGTACGAAAAATAAATTCCCATAAGTTTGTTAGTGATAGAGAAGCTTGAGTTGAAACGAAGGTCCTTCCCCCAAATGGCGGCAATCTACTTGCTTTCTAATTTATCCAGCTCGATCGAAAAGCTCTGCTCAGATATCAGCGATGGCCAATATGGGACATATTACATATACATACTATCCAAACTTGAAGACAAAGAGGTGCAGAAATTGGCAGCCGCTGTAAAGACGAACGGTTCCTCCATTAAGGTATTTATGGAAAATCTTTGTAGTATAAAATTCATGGGGACCAATGGCTTCTACTTACAGGACTTTGACAAGGAGATTTTGGGCAAGATATATGCTCAACTCTATCCCGATAAGCTTTTAGAGCACGTGGGAGAGCAGCTCGCCGCTGTCGTAAAGGAATTCTTTCCGTAAGCACCTCTGCTTACTGCTAGGAAATTGTCCAAAAAAAACCGTCCCCAAATTCGATATAAAACCTCGCCCTATAGGAGGGCCGAAATTGTCGCAAGGTCATGCTTTGCATCTTTGAACAAAGAAAAATTGGCACCAGAGTCGCCTACAAGCTCCTCATGTAGCCTGAAATACATCTTGATTGTCGATCGGTCATTCGACCTTATCTCGCCGCTGCTGCATGAATTTACTTATGAAGCAATGTTACGGGAGATTGAATCTTCTTGTGATTCCGAATATTGTAGTGAAATCAAGAAAGAGCTACACTTGCTTGATAATACAAATCTCAAGGAGGAGCAATTGGGATTTTGGTCTCTGCTCCGGGATGTCCACCTTGCAGATTGTGTATCAACGCTTCTAAAATATTCCGAATCATTTGTCGCTTCGAATTCTGCAGCAGGATTTTCCAAGGAAACAACTAAAGATCCATCAAAGCTGGTATCAATTAGCCAAATGAAGGCAACAATAGCTTCAATTCCCGAATTGCAAGAATTTAAAAAATACGTAAGGTTCTCGATACAAATTGACGCCTGTAGTTTTCGATCCATCTTCAGCTGCTGCAATACTGCATTGATACCTTCAATCGGAAAAACCTTGATGCCGTGGCAACGGCAGAACAAAACCTTGCTTGTGAGTATTTTACGAGCGAATCTAAGCCTGCTGAGGATCCTTTGAATGCAATTAGTTCTTTGCTGGCCGACAAGGATATTTCGGCAGAGAACAAGGCCAGATTGCTGATACTGTATCTTGCAATTGTTCCAGAAATGTCCCAGCTCTCAAAGTCAGAGTTGATGACTCTTTGTAAATATTCGGATATTTCCGACGTTTGCTCAATTAATGGGTTTTATTCGGCCTTTAATGTTCGAACGTCTCAGGGACCTGAAAGATTGTCAATGGTACTTCCAAACATCAAAAAAAAGCATAAAATCAAGCTCGGATCTTTGTTCAAGGGCACATTTTTTTCCAAGGGCGGTGGTAGCACAGAAAAGTTTGATACCGAAAATAAGGCTACTTATGAGCTATCCAGATTTGTGCACCCAATTGAGGCATTGTGCAAGGTATGGGTCCATGTTTTCAGCATCATTTCTAGTCGACTTTAAGAGGCATTTTTGATAAGGCACGAGATGTTCTCGTTGAATCTGCTCTGATGGAAGAGACCAGTCAAAGTCTCGTCACCACGCCCGGTGCTGCAAACATGGCATCCGGAAAAAATGTATATGCGACATCTAACTCTGTTCGGCACAGACAAGAGTGGAAAAACGCTGCCATAGCTGTTGATTCATCAATAGAAGCGGGACAGGCTGCATTTGAGCCAAAGGCCTTAATATTTATTGTTGGCGGGATGACCAGCTCCGAGGTCAGGGTTTCTTTTGAAAGAAGCAAAGGCCATATTTTACTTGGATCCGATTTCTTTATCACGCCAACAGACTTTTTGGCATCTTTGGCAGAAAGTGGCAAGCTATGCAAGGGATAAGCAAAGATAAGCAAAGATAAGCAAAGATAAGCAAATAAACGCCATTTAAGGCATCTTGGGATTGGGGTTTTCAACTTATTTGCAACTTTTTTATTCTGTTATTAAGCAGATTCAAGGACCGGCTGCTTATTATCTACTGAAAAAGGATTGCCAGAAATGGGCGACTAGCTAATTTGAGGGCTCCTCCATTGATCAGTTTTTGTTGTAAGCCTTTTTTCTGATAAGAGTCAATTTGGCTCTCGCTTGGGAAAGCTTGGATTCGAGCCCCATTATTTCGATTTGTTGGTTCCGTTCCGCAATGGTCAACTGATGGGAATTTGATGCCTCCAAGTCTTCAGGATTTCTGGAAGTTGCTTCTTCGGACATGGTAAATTGCTGCATATACGCCTTTTTTGCCACAGACGCCAAAGAAGATGTCGTGGAGGCAACTTGCTTTGAAGCATTTTCAAGGCCCAGCTGGTTTGGAGAAAATAAATTGGTGGCCTTTACCCTTGCTGCTGTTACTAGTTGAATGGTCCCAGCTGCAACTTCTTTTGCACCAACTAGGACGCTTTCAACTTGGCCCTCAAACCCATTTGAAGAAGAGTATGATTTGGATGCCTCGCCTAAAAACGCCATTGAAGAGACAACTGTCCTTGCGGCAGAAATAAGCCCCTCCGTCCATTTTGAGTCTTTCAAATAGTATTTTGCGTTTACGCTTTTTCCTCCGCTGTTTACAATTTCCTCTTGACAAAGGGTGGCATATTTCATCAGCAATGTCAATGCATCGGTGACTCCAAGCGTTGAATCAATCACAACGGATTTTTGCTCTTTCTTCAGCTGTGCTGCAATGGCATCTATTTGAGAAGCTGCCTCTGATAATTCCCGAAAAAGATCGTTTGAGAATACCTCCCTATTTTCATCTTGAAGGAGAGAAATAGAGTCTTTTGTTTGCGTCAAAAAGGATTTTAATTTGGCAAGAATCTCTTCACAAGAGTTCACATCAAATGTTTTCGAGCTTTCTAGAAGGGTTCTAATATGTCGGTAAAAAAGTATTCCCGTTTCCGCAATATGCGACTCATGCTGACTTGTTTCTTCAAACGCATCAAAGAGCTGCTTTAAAAAAAAGATAATGTTTTCAATAGTCAAAGAAAATGACTGGAATTCAGAGCTTATACTGCAAATATTGAGACCTTTGTGATCGCTTGTTTTGTCGGTGAGTAGCAAGATATCATTTAGTGCATTAGGAACCACGGTATTGATGTTTTCCAGTGCCTTTTCAATCAGCGAATATCCGAAAGCCCAATTGACATCTGAATTTAAGGGTTGGACGGAGTTTTCATGGGCTTTCGCCAATGAAGATTCTAGTAGCAAAAAAAAGGAGCTTCGAGTCTCCAATTCTCTCTAAGACGTTATTCAACGCCATTTAGGCTTACCGACTGCGCTGCTGTATAGGCATCTTTCCATCTCTGCATTTTAGAATTAAAAGAAGCCTCCAGGTTTCTTAATTGAACTTTGTGGTCTTCTGAAGAAATGGCGGAGCCATCTGCCATTGATAGCTGCTCGTGCAGGGACTTGATTTCGCTTTCCAGCAAACCAATCCTCTCCATTTGGTCCTATAGGATTTCACAAACAGGCAGAGCGTACCTTGACTTTTTTTTGCAATTTTATGAGCATGGGTTCATATTCCAGTAAGGAATCAACTTGTTTCGAGAGTTCCGAGGCCTTGTTCTTTGCTTTGTTCAGTTCTTCTTGGAGCTCTTGATATAGCCCTATCAGGGTATTGTATTTCTCCAAGAGCTCGTGATATTTGGCCTTCCAATCAACGCCTATGGGTGAGAAAATAAAACGGAGGTTTACTATCACTGCCAAATTGAAGCTTCTGCAGTTCGTTTTCTAAGGATTCAATTTGCTAGCAATAAGTACGACCATAAATTACCTGTTGCTGGTAAATAGATTGCTGTCGAGAATATTCAAGCTGATCTGGGAATTGGTCGGCAAAGCTTCCGGATGAAGATGATTTTCCCATCTTCAGGATGTCGTTAAACTTTGTTTCCTTTGAAACTTCGGATGAAGAAGACAAAGAAGCCCTTTTAGAGGACATATTTTCAATGAAAAACGGAGCTTTCTAAATTTAGTCGGAAAACTGCATACATCCGGTAAGCTGGGGACAACTATTATGGAGGTCAAGTATTTCAGCGTATTACAATCAGAATAGAAAGTCTTCAACTTCCAAAATAGCTCAATGTATCTATCCTTTAGGGGAACAAGAACCTGGACATCCTCAACGACTGCTAAGTGGGATCAAACATACCATACCTGTGAACATGGCCTCCAAGATTTTGGTAGCAAATTTGTAGATGCCATCCGACTCTTCGACTAAAGGAATCAGAGCACCTTGAAGGCATGTTTGATCTCTCGATCCTCTGAAGGCAGATCCGATTAGATGCTGCAGCCGTAAAATATGGGATAAAAGATCCAATAGATCCCAGATCACTCCATAACTAAAAAAAGTTTGGTAAAAATACCTATGGTTAATGCTGTCGTCTCCTTTTCTTGAGATATACTCTTTAAAATCAAATTTCCCATTGAACTCTGGATAGATTTTGTGGAAGGCCAGCTTTGCCTTTAAGTATACAACGTAAGGCTGAATCAGGGACAAATAACCTAAGATTTGTAATTCAAGTAGGTACCGTAGACACTATTGGAATATTGGCTTTGTCGACACAATGAATCTAGATACTCAACCTCGTTTAAAGATTCCGACAAAACAATATGCGGGCCATCTAAAAGCATCTTATGTATCACAACCAAGGCTTTAAAGCACATCAGTCCGTTTGATAAAATTGGCTGTCCCTTTAACCCATCCCAGACTGGCTTACATGTGGCATGGTCCCAGGTGTACAGAATGCACCCTAATGGAGATAACGAACCAAATGGCGTACATCGAACATGCTTCTGCTTGGGAGCGACCTCTTCATCGTTGGTAGACTTTTTTAAATGTTCATATAATTCAGCTTCTTTTTTTTCCCTATAAGAGGACATTGTCATTTCGTAAAGCTCAAAAATATATTTGGGAACAATCCATAATATATCAAGATTCTACTTTTGGAACCAATTTAATTCGTCGATTTTTGGACCATTAAAACTTTGTTTAATTAAATTTGCAAACTTGGCATGTAAAATTTAGCGCAGCAGTAGGGTTATCATCCAATTTGAACGAAGCGCTACATCAACTGGCAAGGAATTGAATTTTAATTTATAAATGGAAACTCTGAATGAAAATCATGTTATCGTCATCGGTCCTGCTGTTTGCCATTGATCCAAATGGGCATGCTTTGCATCTTTGGCTTTAATTTTAAATATTCCCAAATTTAATTTTACAAAGTTTATTTGGAGACAGAAGCAGAGCGATCCGTTGTGAAATCTATTTATGAACACATTAAAAGAGATCTAATATCAATAAATTTGATCAAGTAAAATCAATATATACCAAAGTTCTGGTGTATTTGGCCTATAGTGGGTTTGACTAGCCTTACTGCGGTGTGATGCGTTCAAAATTGCAAGGATAACTTTATTTTAAGACGCCAGTTTTTAAAGTTAGAATGGGCGCCATACGAACTTCAATTGGCTTTTAAAACAATTGCAAGTATCCCAGTTGTTTAAGTTTCATTTATCAAGTTAGGGCTCTATCGGTGCGGCTCGCGCTCTTTTCAAGCAGAAAAGCGATGCAATCACAATGATTATTGCATCGACACTTTGGTGCGCTAATTTTAGGAATACTAATTCCCACTTTGTGGATTTTAAATTCACAATTACTTAATTTGCGGCGCATAATAAGCTTGACCCCAAATAGGACGACCTGATAATTAAATTTTCAGAGTTTACTTGATGATATCGGTAATTTTCGAGTTTAGTGCTCTCAGTTGATGAAAAATTTACGGTCCAAAGCGGTATAAAATGCAAGCAATTTTTCGGGAAGCTGTACATTTCAATGAGCATTCAAAAAATTGTATTTCCGATAGTTTTTATTGGCGGTTTTCTCTTTCCTCAATCACGCTGCTGAGGATCCATACATTGTGTTAATAACGAAATTAAGTATTTTAATTGGGATACTAGAAGCGCTAAAGAATTCAGAAGACAATATGAATCCCGTGGAACTGCTAACATGTGGCTGGTAATGGGACTAATCGAGAAAGCAGCAAAGAAACACTGAAATTGAACTTGAAGCGAATTCCAGCGCTATTCATTAACTTTTTTTAAACTCTTTAATGGATTAGATAAGCGAATATTATCAGAGCTGGACAAGACATTTACAATATCCATTTTACCGCTAATAAATAGATATCGCGGTCTAGCTTCAACAGCATGATATAATAAAAACTTTGGATATTTTCCGAGGTTCCCTAGTCGCTTAACCTTTTCCCTGAACATTAATCGCTGTATAATGGAATCAAAATATAAATCCATTGCGAAATCACGCCCTCCATCCGGCTACATAGATGTCCTTTTTCTTGTTAAACGCTTTTTGTGATATTTTTACCCACAGTAAAGCGTGTGGCTGATAGCATAAGAGCGAATCAATCACCTTCAGAAGTATTTCTTGAGATTTATGTTTGTACCCCTTTTTAGCTATCCTATGCGCCTTTTTCGGCAAAGACTACTTTTTTGAACTCTCTTTAATTTAGCACCATGATACAGAAACCAATAGTGTGCTCAACATGCCCCCTAATCCAATGGGACACCTTATGTATCAGTATTTGCTACACTTTAACGTAGTTTCATGCATATGATTGGCTGTTTTTATTTAGGATTATGGACAGCCATGCTAAAGTAGATAGGTTGAACTTTTATCGAGCCTTGTAAAATAAACTTTATGTACCAATAATTTCAATGTTTTATAACAAATGTCCTAGCCAATGAAATAAAGGTGTTAATTTATTTACCAAGGGTGGTAGAATATTTATTCACATGAAGTTCCGTCCTGCAGCCTTAGCCTTTTTACTTTTTGGATTTGTTGCTATTGTCTTGATCTATAACTTAAAAAGACATTTTGATCCCAGTTTTGAAGAAAATGTCCAAACATCAGAGAATATTAAGGTCGCTTCTCTTCTCGATCCTGCGGCCCTAAATTCTTCTTCCTCGTTAGTTCCTAAAAGTACTAAAGCTACTMTTTATTTGAAAAATACAACGATCGAGTACAAAGAATCGGCTTCAAAAAAATATTCCCTCATCTTGGATTTTGGGATAGCAATAATGGCCCTTTCTGCTTTGTTAGTCCATGTTCTGCGATTCAATAGATATGCCAAACCAGTCCCAATGAATCTTTCTGTTTTATTTAGGCGCTTGTTACTCATATGCTTAGCTCCAGGCTTTTTTTATGCGAATCGATATTTTAAAATCTTTAAGCGAAAAGAAACAATTATTGACAATGCCTTCCTAAAATTTATATACCCAAATTTGCGTTATAATTTTATGTCATCCGAAGAAATCAATATTTTGGCCTTTTGTATCGCAAAATATCTAGGAATTGAAGAAGAAGATTTGTATTATTATTGGACAAAACTTGAAAGAATGGAATATGAGGATGTGGTAACACCTAAACTTTCAAGGAAATACATAGTTATTTATCCCACAACCAGGGACACATTTCCCGAAATGTTACCCGCTTCTAGGTTTTTTAAATTAGATTCCAGGAAAGAAAGGAGCGATGAAGACCAACACTTACAACGCTACACGGTTCTGGAAGCTTCTACATTCAATAATGACGAGTATCTTAAAGAGTTTGAAAAGGATAGATCGCTAGAAGATTCTCAAAGCTATCAATTTCATTTGATCGCAATGTACCAATTCAATAAGCATGTAATCATGTTCGATTTAGTCCTTAATAATAGAATCAATAATTTTCTTTATAATAGTTCCTTTGATACAGTTAAAAGGATTGAGGAAAAGTATCTACGTACCAATAAGCTTTCTAACTCAGATATGATGAAAGAAGTCTACGATTCCCTTGAAATTGTGCAACTTCAAACCTCAAGAGCCATTATTGAAAGAATGAAAGGTAAAAAGCAGACGGATAAAATCATGGAAATATATGAAGATCCTAAATTTGTTTCTGCTAGAAACTGCTTGAAAACGGCCAAGACAGAAGGCTCTGTGAAATATAATATTCAATATATGTTCTTTTATAGCCGTTCTCATAAAAATCCGCAAAAATACATCGAGAAAAACCATTCTCAAGACCCCCTACACTCAAACCCTCTAATGAACGACGATATAGTTGATTTTGAGATAAACGTAAATTATCCTTCAGAAGAGTCGGTTACTAGACATTATCTATCTTGGGTTATAAACTTATTCGTGGAAATGGGCGTGAAATCCTCGGACTGATAGCCTTCCAAAGACTCAAATTCCAAGTTAACATGAGAATAAAATTTTGTAGTTACAGGTTTCGGTTGCGTAATCCGAATTTAAAAGGAACATTCAAACCATAATGCTTCTATTAAGGTTGGGCCAAGCCCATCTAGAATGTACTTCAACCGAATTCAGGGTTGTCAGTATAAACATTCACCGTGGTATGGCAAGCAGCATTTAATAGATTGTGTTCGATATGTTCGAAGCTTACAATAGAGCAAGCCCTAACGCTCAAGTGATTAGGGGTAATCCAAGGCATCAGGTGCGCTATATTTTTCGCCCCCAAGCTTAAAAATCTGAAATTTCGAAAATGTTGAAATAGCGATTTATTGATTTGGAACATTCGTCTGTTTTTGAGAAAAGGGATTCACAAGTGCTTTTGAATTTGGTTTCACAGAAAAATTGTATTTCTAAATCAATTTTGAGCCTTTTAATGTGTTGGGGTAGAACGATATGGGGAGATCGCCCATTTAAAACCCTACAGTCTAAATCCAAGATCAAGCAGATAATTTGCTCACGATCCGAACTGGCCTGATGTGTTATGCCATTCTCAATATTTCAGCTTTTACCACTCGTATTCCTAAGCCTTGGTCCACCATGCAATTTAGAGAGTCAAGCGAATCCTTTGGCTTTCTTCATAGGCAAAAAACTCATTGCAGAGGAAGCCTTATTTTCTTCCATTTAGTGCAGGGGCGAGAGAGGGCGTAACCAATGTGAAAGAGCATCGACAAATCTGAAATTCACCATACCCTTTTACATCCAAAGTGATAAATCTCACATAAATGTCAATTAAAACACTAGAGGTTTCGCAATTCCGAGGAGCCCCACCCAGAAGCAATATCCGTCAAACGAGAAATTGATACCAGTATTTATATCAAATAATAGCAGCCCAGCTGATTGCAGTAAATATCTGCTCAAATCATTATGAGAGCGTTTGAGAGGAATCTTGCCGCATATTTTTTTGGGACCGACTGATCACCTTTTGGATAAGCTTAGATGTCGCAGCCTTTTATTTTTTGGAAATCCAGCCGGAAGCTTTATGGACCAGCCATTTTATATTAGAGATGAAGCACCCTTGTGGTTTATTGGCTTACTTTAATATTTAAGCATATGCTTTGCTGGCCATGTAGATGTTTAAAGCCGACAGGGCAGTCTGGGAGTTAAATTTATCTGGGCCAATACGGATAAGTCAAAAGTCGGGCGGGAAAAGCTATAAGGTACCGGATCCTATCATCTCATATGTTTTCTAAAACCGGTAAGCTTATAATAGATGCAAATCTGGGGATCGATCAAGTGTGTTCTGCCTTTTAATTTGCATCGGGTATTTGTAAATTGCTTGGCAATTTTTTTCAATTCATAGCCTATTTTAGTTTTGAAATTCAAAATTAAAAGAAGGGGTTATTGATGGTGGATGTGGCTGATTTGCTGCGGACACCAACCAGGCTAGTATCACCAACTTGCTCAAAACAGCGATTTAACACCATATGGGAGATAGATGCAAGCCTGGAAGAAATCTTGCTAAAAAGCACTTCATCGTCCTCCATCAAGCGGAAAAAAACAAGAAATTTCTTCTGTGTTTCTCCCGCCAATGTGCGTGTGACATATTCGATAGATTGTACGCCAAACACCCCAGTGATAGTCGAGAAGTCTAAACGAGACTATCCATTTTTAAGCTCGCCCCTTTTTGAGAAAAGCAACGACATCAAAGAAAGGATCCTTTGCTCATCTCCAATTCGAAGATCCGATGAAAGAATATCCAAAAGGCCAACATCGAGAAGAAACCCAAATCCCATAAGGATCGGATCAAAATCGGATCTTTTTGTAGAAAATGCCAAGCATAGTAAACGAAATAGAAAAGGAGCTTCCGTTCACGAAAACATTGAGCCATCAAAAATTAAAATCAGACACAAAGACCAGGCGATTGCCCAAGTTTATCTATCCATTTCAAGCGAGTGGTGCGATGATATTTCCTCTTTTTTTCACGTCTGCCTACGTACACTACTGAAGGAAGCAAAAATCGCCTATAAAGTTGTCCCCGGCGCATCTATATCTCCTTTCAAAGCGGTTTTATATCGCGAATTAGACAAATATTCTAAAGTTGAAAGATCTTCTATTTGGATCGACCCCTCCTGTCAAAAATGCAGGGAAGGAAACGAGAGCTCATTGATGGATGCAGGAGCTTCATTTTTGTTTGTGACGTCGGAGGAATTTTGCGAGATGAGCACACCCGGACTTATGGGTGCGATTGATCGGCATGATTTGTGCGTTATTCATCGCCGAATAACTCTCGTTCTTCTCCCTAAGGACCAACAAAAGAAAAAAGCCAATTTGGTCGTGTTTCCTGATCCGAGCTACTGCAAGCATAGCGAACAAATTCAAAGAAAGATTTTAGAGATGCAGCTGACAAATATTTGTCAGATTTTGGATTGGAAATCAGGCTCCATTTCTTCATTGGGAGCAATGATCATCGAACTTGTGAGGACAGTTGCATTTGAGCCATTCCGCATAAAGTCGCTTGGAGAAGCACTAAGCAGTACCGGAAGGAAGGGGCGAGAACAAAAGGAAATCTTCAGGAAAATGCTGCTTCTTATTAATGGCGTGTCAGAGGCAGTTGCAATTGCGATAGTTGGAAGATGGGCATCCCTCGGAACTCTTATTCGTTACCTACGGGAACGAGAAAAAAATGAAGGCTTGCTAGCAGCATCTTTGGCTTTAGCAGAGATAGATGTACAAAGGCCCAAGTCAATCAAGAACATTGGAAGCACGCTTTCGCAGCGCATATTTGGTGTATTGATGGGTTTGGATCCAGAGGTAAAATTCTCGTAAATGCTCGATGTTGTAATTGACGTGTAAACTAAGTTGTAAATTTAATTTTTTTATGAAAACGGACGCCAAAAGGGCTCGGCTCTTGGCCCAGTATACACACAAGAAGCTTCTGAAGGAGGAGAAACAAACTCTTCTAGAGGGTCTGGCAAATGAACACAAAAAAAGAAAGGAACTTTTGGCAAAGTACGAGCTGCAAAAGAAAAACATTTCTTCCAGCTCTGTTTCTTCAAAACGTGCAGTTAGAGAGGCTCTTTACACTAAAGCCATCGAGGAGACACATATTGAAGACAATAGGCAAAATTGTTTCAAACAAGAATTAATATCTCACTCTTCTTTGGAGGTAGAGCGTGTTTCATCCTCTGGCGAAGATGATTGGGACGGATTTCTTGATCCTCCAAAAGAGATAGTAGAAAAAAACATCCACGATCCGCAAGATTTTACCGCGGGTAGCGCTCCTCTGACAGGGGCATCCCTTTTTAGGATCTTTAATCGTTTGCCTAAGGTTGAGGAGGACCGTTCAAGTTTGCCAATTTTGTCAGAAGAACAGTCGATTGTGGAGATGATTAGATACAATGACATCTCTTTTATTTGCGGAGAGACCGGCTCAGGAAAAACAACTCAGCTTCCACAGTTTTTATTGGAGTCCGGATTTGCTGACCCATCTTCTTCTCTTTTTCCTGGAAAGATCATTGTGACACAGCCACGTAGGGTGGCTGCAATGTCAATGGCAGCTAGAGTAGCTCATGAGCTTAATGAAGAAGGTATCGTGGGCTATCAAGTCCGCTACGACAGCACTCAAAACACAGAGGCAACACGGGTGATTTTCATGACTGATGGCATTCTGCTTCGTATCATCGCAAACGATTTCCTACTCTCTGCTTATTCGGTGATTATCCTTGATGAGGCGCATGAAAGGAGCGTAAATACAGATCTATTGCTTGGTCTGCTGACAAGGATCGTCGCCCTGAGAAGAAAAAAATTTGACCAAGTACAGGGCTCCCAGGGTACTCCTTTGAAGCTTGTCATCATGAGTGCAACGCTTCAGATGGAAGAGCCGGAGCTTGAGAACGAAAAAAAAGTAGCAGACTTGGTTCAACAGACTCCTTCGATGTCTTTATCTCCTCAATCTACTCTTTTCCGTGGATTAGCTCGACCACCGCCGTTTATTGATATTCCCTCACGCCAGTTTCCCATCCATATCCATTATTCGAAAAAAACACCGACGGATATGCTATCCGAAGCATATAGGAAAGTTCTTCAAATCCATAAGAAGCTGCCTGCAGGCGGTATTCTTGTCTTCGTTACAGGCCAGGATGAGGTATGGTCGCTCATAGACCGATTGCGTGGTAACAAAACTCGGAAAGGTGATCGCCCCACTGTTCTTCCAGAAACTATCAATGACCCTCTTTCTATGGATGACCGGGATGATCGTTCCGCAGAGCCCGAATACCACTCCATTGTTGATGCGAATAATACAGAGAACAATGACCGTCATGGCAACGAGTCTGAGGATATTAGTGAAGACGAGGAGCTTCATCCAAGGATGTTACCACCAATGCGTGTGCTACCATTCTATTCCTTGCTACCGTATGCAGAGCAGGAAAAAGTGCTTACCGCCTCTTGCTCCCTGAATGATTCTGAGCGCCTTGTAATTGTCGCTACCAATCTTGCGGAGACATCTCTCACCATTCCTGGAGTTTCTTATGTTGTTGACACAGGGCGAGTCAAGCGGCGCACATTTGATGGAAATGGCGTAGAAAGCTATTCGACGTCTTGGATTTCCAAGGCGAGCGCAAGACAACGAGCTGGTCGGGCTGGAAGAACCGGTCCAGGACACGTTTACCGACTCTATTCTAGCTCTCTTTTCGAGGACCTTTTTGATGACTTTGACACTCCAGAGATCCTTCGTATGCCAGCAGAGAGTACTTTAGTTTTCTAACGCATCGTAGATATGGTGTTGCAAATGAAAGCTATGAACATTGATAATGTGGCCCACTTTCCCTTCCCCACTGCGCCAGATCCTGTCAAATTGGAGCAAGGGGAGCGACTTTTGCTGCTGCTTGGTGCGCTCTCGACGCCTACAGCGGTGGTTACTGAGATTGGTCGAGGGATGGCACTCTTTCCGGTGCCTGTACGTCTATCAAGAATGTAAGTAATCTTGGCTCATTTCTGTAGGATTGTCGGTGCCGTTCAGCTGGGAAACTCTTTGCTGCTAAGAAGCGTCTTAGACTTGGCCTCGATTCTTTCCGTGGAAAGTCCTTTTATTGCTGGAAAATCCCGCGAGGTCCTGGCCTCATGTGAAGACGTACTAGCTATGGCCAGACCATTTTCGGACTTGTTTTTGTATTTACATCTTTTTCAAGGCTTTTCAAAGCTATCATCCCGAAACGAGCAGCGTTCATTTGTCACCCGGTGCCACCTCAATGAAAAGGTTTGTCTTCTTGACTTTTTCTAGTGTCTCAAAGAGGCTCTCAGGTTAAGATCTCAGCTGGGAACAATAATTTCTCGCTCTTTTGTCAAGGCAGATGCCCTTGAGCCGACAAGCGAACCAATTTGCCCCAAAGATGTCAACTCCATTTGGTCCCAGCTGATTTCTTTGTTTCTCTTGGCACATCCGGACTGCATTGCAAAGCGGGTCTCTTCCCCGGGCAAAATGCCCGTTTTTTTGCCTGTAGGCCTGGCAACATGCTCTACAATTAGACTGACCTCTCCCATTTCTACATGGATCTCATTTATCACAATGCCAAACGAAAAAAACGAAGCTCAAATTTGCAAGGCCAAGCCAGATACATCGTCGATATTTTCTACAGCTTCTTTTCGGAATAAGAAGCTCGGTGGGTGGTTCGTTTATGGACGGATCAGGCAGCATCTTGATACAGATAGGATGGGCGTAGGGAAGATCTCCTTATCCATACTTTCTGAAATACCGGATCCGACCTTACTTCCCGAGCATCTGCTGAAGCTATTTTCGTCAAATAAATTAACTTAATTGCCTGCTATCTTTTGAATCTAAATCTGCGGCAAATATGTGCTGTCCGGATAGCTAATATTCCCTGTGTGTTGTGGTCTCATTTGCAATCGCAGCGGCAATGTTAACGTACAAAATAGAGTCAAACGAAACACATATCGATGGACATTTTAATATAATTTGCATGCTCATGGGGCTAAGGCGATTTCCGATTATTGTAGGCCATATTTCCGGCCGTTGCAAACGAATATACGCTGTCAGGATATCCGGAAAAGGTGTTTTTGGACATGCCTTGCTCATTTGGGGACATCAAAAGAGATCCTGAGATGGAGCCCGGCTTTTCTAGGGGTTAGCTGTGCGATTCAAACTTTTTTTTGCAGATTGAGAGATGGGCGTTATTCTGGCATTCAAATAGTATTGCCAATATGAGAATGAAAACAAAACCAAGAAAATTAGCGCGCTGAGAAAGCAGTTGAGAGCGGCCGTGTCGGCTTCGCTGAGCGGCCTTGAGTGGAAAAACTGGGGATCTCGTGACTGATAGCACAGACCAAGAGCGGTGAGAAAGACTACACCAAAGGCCGAATATATACACACAATTACGGATAATACTCTGGAAATAAAGGGCCTTACCATAAACAAGGGGCCTATCTTGACAAAAAATTTATATTTTAGTTTAATTCGGTTCCCATTGGCTGGCCCGTAACTTGATAAAAGTGGGCAATAAATAAATTAAAAGAGCCCCCTGATAAATAGTCTAAATCGGTCATATAGTCCCGCCAACGTTGGCTCTGGCCTTACATCCAGATAAATGGAAGGCACGCGTATCTCTTTTCCCTCGACAAGAGATAGCTTTTTTTGGCCCTCGTAAAAGTCAATGATGTATCTGATGGGCTTTTCAGAGCATCCGCATCTGTCAACGAACCAGTCGTGTCGATCAAATGGAGGTGCGTAGCCTAGTAATTTCCAAAGCCGTGCCTTGATTGTCAGCTCTTCTGGCTTGCCGCAAAAACTGGAAAGTGAGGGTTCTTTGCAATCGTGAAGCCTTTCGTATTTTAAAACATGCTGCCAGGCCTGTTCGTTGACAATGTTGTGCATGTGTACAATGGCAAAAAGTGTCGATTTGTCCAACGAATTAACATCTTCAACCTTCAACTGACTTGAAATGCCATCTGTTTCTTTTTTTGCCATTGTTTTTCTTAACATTGCCGCTTTGAACATTTCTATCGATGGGTACAGCCAAGTTCCATCTGTTCCGGTGCGTTTTATAGAAGAAGATATTCGCATAGAGGTAGGTGAATTTCCAGAGTTTTCCTCCGATGTTCCGAGACACAGGGAGTGTGAAGAACATCCACTGGTGGCGGGACAGCTGCCAACCTCACCAATATAAGGGCAGGACAATCCGGGTTGTTCGCCAGATGTTGGCTTTACGGGACATTCTGAAGAATCCATATAATTTGAACTTGGATTCCCGAACTTTGTGCAATTGTGGGAACACTCTGAAGCTTGAGCTACACTCATCGTGAAAAAGAAAAACCAACAAGGACCAGGTGTGGGGTTTTGAATTTTATTTAAGGTTACAGGTTTAAATAACACTTCATTAAAGTTTTTTGCGCGAGGGTTCCTACCAGCGTATTCTCATCCCTGGATGAGGTCACAATTAAAAACGGTGCGTTACTCTTGATCAGCATTTGGATTGCCATTTGGATGGAAGTTTTTCCAGAAACCAAAAGGTCTTGGCTTATTGGCTTGAGCGGAGCCTCTAGCCCCTGGGCCAAGCATTGAAACGCGTCCTGGAATGAAATGAGCCCTAAAACGCTGTTTTTCACAACCATGTTTGTGAAGAGGGGAATTTCTTTTACTACTAGCAGTACTTGTGGCGCATTTTCATGTTTGAAAAATTGGCGAAAACATGTGTTAATTGATGTCTACGGTAAATAACATTTGCAGCTCGTACCAGACTATCTTTCTCAACATACGAAAATGGCTCAGGAATATTGGATTCTTCCAAAGAGCTGTTCATGCTTACTTGGATGGGATTTATAAATTGATGGTATGCCATCCAGTCATCCTTTATGAACTTTGACATATAGTTTCTGACCGAATCTGGGAGAATGATTAGAATGGTCTGCTTCGATGAAAGGTTCTTTCCAACCACCATGGCAACATGTGCAGCAGAGCCACTGCTCCCTCCACATAATAACCCTTCCTCTCTTATCAGCCTTCTTGCCATGGTAAATGAGTCTTTATCATCGACACTAACCCATTCATCGATCGAGGAATAATCCAAAGTATTTGGGATGAAATCGTATCCAATGCCTTCAATTGATGCATGTTAAGATAATACCTTCTACGAGATACATGCTTTTAGAAACTTTGGTGTGGCCTTTTTTCTTGAGTGCCAAAGAAGACCCGAAAGGATCAACAGCAATGATCTAAAAAGGAGGTTACCATAGCTCGAGCAACTACCTTGACATGAGGGGCCGCCTTTTTGATTGCCCTACCTACCCCGGATACTGTACCGCCCGTTCCTGCTCCAATGATCACGACATCGATATCTGCTCCGTTGTTTGTTGCCTGTAAGATTTCGGTTGCTGTAGTTATTTCGTGAGTTAAAGGGTTATTTATATTGCTGTACTGGTCAAGTATTACTGAATCTGGTACTTCTTTCTGCAGTTTTTTTGCCAGGCCTAATGGATAAGTCAATGTGTGTCTTAACTGATGTGACTACTAGGATGATCAAATGGAACATTGGTGGGGGTTCTTCTCACGTCAGCTCCCATTGCTTTTAAAATGTTGATCTAGGAAAAGTCATATTGGCGGCACGAATGCATACCTTTTCCATACTCATCTTTTCAGGAATGGTAATGATCACCTTATAGCCCCTTACCGCTCCAATCAAAGCTAACCCAATTCCTATGATGTTCAGAAAAATACAATATTTTAACCTGTGTTTCCTGACGTGGGCTCAATAATGGTGGACTTTCCAGGTATCAGGATCCCTCTTTTCTCTGCATCTTCAACCATTGCATAAGCTATCCTATCCTTAACAGACCCCCCTGGATTGAAGAACTCGCATTTTGCGACTATAGCGATCAGATATTTGAGTATTTACCGATGCGACAGGCCAGTCCCTCTTTTTTGGGAATATTATTTAGCTGAACAATCGGAGTATTTCCAATTGTCTTGAGGATATCAGGGTAAACGCCCCTATTTGCTAGAAAGCTTTTTTGTTGCGTTATGGTCATTAAAAATGGAATCAGTTGCGATTAATTTATTTCCTCGTTTAAGCTTTCCTTGAATGGCGACTGCACGAACGAATAAAAATTTATTAAACCTGATTGGGCCCGCTAGCTTACACATTGCGTCCCTAATTGAAAATTCTATTTAGGGTTAGGGGCCCTACGCCACGCTTTAATCTATGCTTCAGCCAATGAGTTGTTGGCCAAAAGGCATCCCAATAAAACCCATCTCCAACCGCAATTAAACAACACAGATATGATGGCAAGACAAAACACATGCTATACATTTGGATTTTCCCGCATGATCGACGTACACGCAATCGAAATCACATTGCCAGAAATACAAACCGAGCGCGATAAAAGAGATGTCGATTTTTTCTTGGTCTCTGAGGACGGTATTTTGCAAATTGAATTTGATCTCTTTAGCTCCTTGACCTTATTGATACTGTAACCTGACGGTAAACGTTGGTTTTCATTACAAGGCGAATGCCCAATAATTTGAATGGCCTTGAGGATACATTTTGATGAGAACGACTAGCATTATCAAAGTGCACACGAATACCTCAATTGCTCCTTTGACATCTGCAAGAACTTGGTCTGATATCAAGGATGGGTCTAGTCCATGTAATGGAGCGACCTCTGTAAAATAATCAAAAATATCCACAAGTGAGGGAAGGTATCCCGTTGAGGTCCGGCCATGTGTGACAGGTGCGTGAAGCATCTTCTCAGGATACAATGGATCCAACAAGGAAAGGGAGTAACTCGGCTCAAGAGCCTCTAAAAGGTAATTTTGAGAAATGTCAATATTAAAACAGGGATTAGTCGGTATTGAGCAAGATGACAGAATCAGAGGAATTGACCAAGTTGCTTTGGATGCAATAAAGCTAGCATTTCCATGGTCATCCGAAAGAGCGTCTTCGTCTTCTTGTTGCGATTGGTACCTTCTAAATAGAAGAGTGGTAATCAATTTGTTATGTTCGCCAACTAAATAATAAATAGCACATAAATACTATTTTCAAGGCCCAGACACTCTTTGACGATTTCAAAAAGCTCCGCTTGGGAAAGCAGTCCTTCGAGATACTGTAAAATCGAGATCCAGTATTTTTGCGGACGCAATGACCGCTCGGCGATGATGAAGTCAATACGGGTCTTTTGCAATTCCAAGGCCGAGCTCATCAATGTATGTTTAAAATACTCTTTAATTAAAATCACGATTAAAATTAAAATTTAATGCTTTTAGTTTAATTTTTAAATAGACATGGCCAAAAGTCACAATGCATCAAACGGTGGAGTCGTGGTACATAACAAAACTAAAAAAGAATCTCCATCATCGGCATCAAAATCGGCCACAAGTTTTATGCGTGCCTTTTGTAGAGAAACCTCCTTACCACAAGGGACTAGAAACGGCGCACATTCGCCGATAAATCACACGACTCACCAAACACAGTGGGATCATCCAGTATTGATGACAAAAGCATCTTCTCTTGTTCCGTCTTTTTGGACATTTTTATCGCCGGTAGAGCAAAATTGCGTTAAAAATTACTGGCTAGATTTGAAGCCACACGAGCGTTCCTGGTTGGTATCCGCCGAAAAAGCACATGTTTTAACGCTTTTCTCACGGCACAAAACGCTTTCTTGTGGATGTACATTTTGCCATCGTCGACGAGCAATTGTTGAAGAGGAAATAATAGCGCTTTATGATGCATATGCATTAGAGCTGGAAAGTTTCAGCACAAGCGTTGCACTCAGTAGAGGCCCCAATCGCGAATCTCAACCGACGCTCTCGGAGCTTTTTATGACTTATGAGGATGTTCTTGATGATGAATATTTAGTTTGTGAACAGGAGAGCGAAGAAAATGGCGATGTATATCCACTAGATGATGAGGATGATCAGTTCATTGAGGAATTGGATGTGGAAGATGAAAGTGATACCTTTATTACCGAAGCGAGGTCCGCCTCATCTTACAGGAACAGCCATTTTTTCCCTACAGACGGACCGTCACGAGAAATTGCTTTTCGGTCTGCACTTATGTCAATAGCAGGAGATTTGCTTCAAAATGATGGCCGTAGATTTGTTGGGCTATTTGAAAAGCTTGCTGAACGGCGGATCCGTTTCGAGAAGGGGCCAGAGAATCCGCATCGAGCCACTCAAAATAATACCATTTTTACACCCATTGATCTTCCATACCATCCACAAGATAGCGATGACATTAAGACCAAGGAGCCCTTTATATGTTCTCCTGAAATTGACAGTAATGCTACTGCGGCAGCGGTAGCAAATGCAGCGGCCTCTTCTTTCCTATGTCACCGTCACCTTCAAAATCCTCCCAAAGCACAACGGCCCGCTGTTAATGAATACGCAAGCCTTAATGGTGACGGTGATGATGATGATTCGGAATATGACACAGAGTCAGAAGAGGAAGCTGGATATTTAAATCGGTACACTCAGCGTCAACCCCATTTACGTGAAGGACCGTTTCAGGGTTCTTTTGAGGAAAACCAAATTGAAGAAGGCCGGCGGATATTTCAAGTAATCGCTGCCAAAGCCTTTGAACAGAAAGCTGTTGTTGCTTTTAAAGAAATGTCTGCAATGGCTCGCCTACGTGCACTTGCTTTAGAGGAACAAACCGAGGCTTCTGAGCGTGAAGCAAAGGCCCAGGCTCAGAGGCTAGCAAGGCAGAAGAAAAGGCAGGCTAAGAAGAAAAAAAAGAAAGGCGGAAATATCTTACCGACAAATCCTTCTGAAACAGAGACCTTTGATGACCAAAGCATGATTGAGTCTTTAGTTGAAGCTCCAATTGAAAATGTACCTGCTGATGAAAAACAAGAATTGACTAATTTTCAAACAGATACTGATTCTCGGCATAGAGATGATTCATATGGCGAATACAGAGAATCGCCTCCTCTTGAAAGGGAGAGCAAAGATTCAATACCTACAAGTGGTAGTAGCTCTTTTACGGCCAACACCGAAAAGGCAACGGCAAAGAAAACACAACTAGCATACTCGGAGCAAATTATTGGACCGGATTCTGAATGGAAAAAAAAACTCCCAAAAAAGCCTTCCTCTGGTGAAATAGATTCTAAATCATCTCTAAAGGCAAAAAAGAACCGTGACCCAAACAATGCGTCTTCCAGTAAAAATGTTACCTCCACTAAAGACACAGCCCCCAATGTACGGAACAACAGGAACACCAAAAAGGCAGAAAAAGCGCCCGACTCAGCAAACAATAGCAAACCCATCCCCAAGTCGCTCTCTTGTCCCGCAGATTTAATCTCATTTGCGAACAAAAGCCGGCCCGAAGCTATAATTAACGTCGAAGAAACACACACAAAAGATCAGAATGGATCTATATGTGGCAGAAGTTCTTTACTTTATGACGATGCCTCGATCCCTTCAGGGCATCTTGACATTGATGATATACTTGGGTGGACACCTCCTCCAATTTCCAATCCACTATTTAACAATTCGGGGCATTCACAGGTATCAATGCTGCCTTCCACAGCATCAATATCGTTTTCCAGTGCAAAATTTTTTCCACCTCCGCCAGGATTTTCTCCACTTTCATTGCCCAACGTTGGTTTAAAGAAAAACGAACCGGTTATTTTTCCTCCCTCCCATCTATAGTTTTTATTAATAAATTTATTTATTAAATCACCTCGGTGTAACATCATGATCATCCCTATTTGCTTATCTGCGATCGAATTGTTAAAAGAAAGGAAGACACAACTGAAGGGCATTGATCAGTGTTCCCCTTTTCACAGACAGCTTGGTATCACTTATGTATATGGATAAACTAGAAAGAAAACGCAACATGGAAGCCATAATACCCTTATTACCGAGTGAGATCGGAACCACGACGGATACAAGTGTTGCTATTGCAAATGATACAGAACGGCCAACTTTATGCAGACTCCATGAGAGTTTTTGTTCTTCCAAGCTTCAACCGCCAGTGCCAATGGATATGCAGATCCGCTCGGGTATGAATATTTGCTTTTATCTTTGGGCTCACTTTAATAAGCACAGTGCCAACCAAGCATATTTGAACTTTTCGTCAACATGAAAATTGCAGTTCTAAAAAATAACGTCCCGAACATGTAAACCCATTCCATCATCTACATAAATATGATGATCAGAACACCCAATCACATACGGGGTACTTGAACTGTTGGCTATTTCTTTCATTTTGTGTTTTGTTTGAACTAAATTAACACACAAACAAATGGGGTAAAGCATTCACTGCTATTTTTGGAGACACGTTAATTGGAATTAAATCACACCAATCAGGATCAACTCCAACGTTGATTGGTGAATTTTCTGCTTAGCCAAACAGCCTATACGTGCAGGAGCCATCTTGTCACAATAATGTTATAATATTGGCAGTAAATTCCGATTCCCCATAATCTGCCTTGTATTTATGATGAATCCCAAGGCATCCATTGTATCGATATTTTTTTTTACCCTCCTTCTCGCAACTTTTTATCATGCCGATGCCACAACCACACTTACAGTTGATAACAACCAAATTGACGTTGTAAAGTCATTAAAAACGACGGCCCTATTCATTGAGGCCCTATTACTTGCATATATTCTTTACAAGGCCACAAGCTTTTCTGTTGCGAAAAAATCGACAGGATTCGTTTTTATTACTGTGGCCTTTTCGGGCACGCTCTTCATGTTTTTCTCTGGCAATGCCTTATTCTTAGAATGCGCCATCTATCAAGTTCCAGTTCTTGGTTATTTACTTCTAATATATCATTGCTATGAGAGAGTACTTCTAGGCTCGTCAAGCACCTCAGTTACAATCAGGCATAATAGTGGCCCCATAATTGCCATTCAACCCGTACCATTATCTGGCAGTGCTATGGGCTTTAATTTCCCACAAACCAAAATGGGAATTGTGATATCAACCATGCTAGCTGTGGTTATTGCGGCAATTTAACATTCAATAAAGCTTTTCGTTTATTTATATCAACGGTTTCTTTTACGTATTAACCTTTTTCAAAAAAAAAAGAATCTTTTCTTTGAATCAGTGGGAGCACTTTTAACCCAAACGTAAATTGCAACGATAGGTGAAAATGGAATAAACGGAATCAAAATCGAAAGCCCATAAGATGCAAGCATGTGAGATGTAGTGAAGACCCAGAATTGGTTTAACAATACCATCAATATTAAGTTGCAGATCGAAATGATTTTGGACACGTACAGGGTTTGTGGGTAATTTGATTTTGAATCTGTGAATGCATCTGGAGCCGCTTTCGGAAGCATATATATTTTATACACCATCACATAAGACAAATATCGAATAGATGTTTCAAAAATAAACATTATTAAGAGCCCAAAAATTCTTAATAGAACCTTGAAGGGCAAAAGAAAAAACACAGCAAGCATTCGGGGGTTCTAATCCACACGCACGTCTTTATTATCACCAAACGTGCATTGGCGAGA